AGGTGCGTAACATTTCCGTCACACTCTTGAGGTATTCGGCCTATCACAACGCACTGGGTAGCTGGCCAATCACAGCACACCTCGCTTTTCTTTTTTTTTTTTTTTTTTTAATGCTTTTTTTAGTAACAATTCACATACAAATTGACAATAAAAGCAAAAATTTCAATAAATTCACAGAAACAATGATTGTAAAAAAAAATAAAAAAAAATAATGCAAATTAAGGAAGAAGAAAACGAGACAAAAAAAATAAATAAATGTAAAAAAAAAATAAATGAACTATATATATACAGAGGGGTATTGAGAACAAATCCATATCTCTAACTACAAAATAAGTGCAAAGGTCCTTAAAAAGGATAAAGTTTCAAGGCTTTACAACAATCTATAGTCTTTTTTGCTTTAGAGTTCCTTACATCTTCCATCACTTTAAGATACTGACAGAGCTCAAATTTAAATGGTAAAAAACTAGGTGTACTCTTTGACCATCGACATTTATGAATGTGATATTTCCCTAATATAATAAACAAATTAAGAACAAAATATAATTTCTTCTCTAAAGGCTTATCATAATAAAATAAAACATTCTTATCTTCTAAAGTAATGTCAATTCCCGAAATCTCTTCAAAGAAGATCTTAAAATCACACCAGAATAATTTAGTACAAATACAATCAAAAAAAAGATGGCATATACTTTCATCATTCAAATTACAAAACACACATTTCAAATCAATATCCTTCTTAAATCTTTTAATAACCTCATTTACTGGATAAATACAATGAATAATTTTAAATGAAACCTCGCGAATCTTATTGATGACACAGTATCTCCTGGAGATCATAAAAGCCTCCTCCCAGTTAATGTCCTGGAAGCGGGAATTCCAAAAACTTTTAGCTGGGGGTATCCTAAAAGGCCGACAAATCTGTTTAAGAAAATTATTATTGCATTTTTTATCAAGAATACTTATTTATAAATGAACATCTCAAACAGAGACCAGGTATTTAAAAAATAAAATAAAAAAACACTCGCGAAGCAAACAACTGTTGCTCCTTACACTCGAACTTCTTTTCCATCGATTTCCCACATAGAAAGCTTGTTTTCCTTCTTTACGTGCAGCATCAATTTGGGGCCACAGTTTGTTACGAGCATCCTTGTCTTTTGCCGTCAGATCCTCCCCAAAAGGTTTTTTAAACCTTAACCCGCATAAACACATTTCATTACACCATATACACAAAATAATGTTCTTTTTAGCAGCATCATATGACCCCTTTAATGGTATTTTATTATTGTAATTGCGTGTACACATCCCAGATAGCAAAATGACTATTTTGTGGAGTCACCACAAGCTACGGAACGGATCCGCAAAACCGGTCCGTATCGGAGTCCACTTGCACAGCGCGACGGATCCGGTCCAGACCCTACCCGTATCCGCTAATAAAGTGGTTCATCCGAACCGGATCCGATCCGGACCCGTTCATTTAGTGGGTCTATACCCTGTTTAAAATGGGTAATCTGGCCAAAACTAGCTCTGGAAATACCTCAAATAGAGCCAACAAACATTATATAGACTAGACTGCTCTATAACAGTGTAATATGTCTCCCTTTATTAATATTAATAAACCACAAAATCATTCAAAACTTTCCTTGGCCAGTAATAATGAAACAATCTATAAAAAGTAGGTAATTACATGAAGAAAAATAAAAAATAAAATGCAACGACAAATTGTACAAAAACATTGTTTTATTTAATGAAAAACTTTACCTCTAAAAACACAATTCAGTTCAATAAACACACTCACACACAGTATCTTAGTATTTTTTCATTTCATATAAATGATCTGAAATAACATTACAAGAGGTGCGGAATATATTTGTCAAAATATAAACAAAAATAGACTTGAGCTAATATTCCAGAACCAAATGAAAAATATAGCATATTCTCGCCTGCAGTTATTCCTGAAGAGGGGTGAAAAATTACCTGACGTTACATATGATTAAAACCCGGATAGCCAACTAAACTACCCGTCTCACAGAAAGAAGGAGATCCCATCCAAATAGGCCTATTATTAACTACTCAAATCTATGATAATGCTAATAACGCTAAAGAGCTAACCTTAACATTCCACAACGTACAGTACAGCGGAGCGCCGGGGTCTTGCTATCTGGGATGTTGTTGCACTTACACAGCTTGACCAGCAGGCGTCCCCAGCGCGTGCTGTCTCGAGCGCTTCGAACACTGAATCATTTCGCGAAGCAATCGGTTCAATTGATTCGAAGCTTCGAAAAGGTTCGTTTCTCCCGTCCGTGAGATTCGTGTCCTCCGTCCACCACTGACTCTGTGCTACACAGTATAGATTTGACCATATTTAACAGACACAGTGTGAAAACGCGACAATATGGATGTAAAAGCAACAAATCTAATTAAAATAATTGAGTTCATGTGTGCATCTCTCTCGCTCTCAGAGAAAAACACGGCGCTCCAGGCCAGCAGGCGGCGGAGACTC